ACTGTCTATGAAGTCATCTCAGCACCTCACTCAGCAGCTCCAACACCTTCCCTGGCTGCCCGGAACAGTCCACATCTGCACGCGGCAGTCAACATCCTCCCTGCTCTGACGCGACAGCCTGCCAGCCCCACAGAGCCCCACACGCCGGCTCTCTCTCCATTTCACTCACATCTGCCACCTTGGGGAGGACACTCTCCAGCAGAAACGGAGTTCTCATTGTTCGCTGTGTGCTGCATGCTAGTGCAGACCACATTCCACGCTACATTAAAGTCATCCACGTCTCCCCCACTCCCAAAGACTTCTGGGATGGCCCCAGCTTCATTTTTTATTAAAACAAGAGCCCCCAGACCACAAAGTGAGCCCCCATCTATGGCTGACACAGAGCCAGACCCCTGCCTTGTGACCTCTAACCCTCGTGTCCCCCTGCTGCCGGAAAAGTAACGTGGAGAGTTTAAGCAGCCTGTCCAAGCACAGCTAAGTCAGAGGCACGTGGACTTGAACCTGACCCCGCAGCTGAGCTCCCTGTCAGCCCCTAATATGCCCACTTATGCGTGGAGGCCCTGGCCTGGTGTCTGCTGAGTTGACTTCAATCCTGTAAACATGCAGGCTGATGACATGAATTTGAAATTTTAGCCTACTTTGACTGTGAGGAAATAAACTTATCTTCGTTAAGACCAGCCACTTGTGGTATTTCTGTTATGGTAGCACTAGATGACTAAGACAGTGTTTGGTACTGAGAGAGTGGGGTGCTGCTCTAACAGATACCTAAAATGTGGAAGCGGTTTTAAAACTGTGAATGGATAGACGTGTGGCAGTGACAGAGGACCAGCAGCAGCAGAGAACCAATGGCAGCAGAACCAGGAGACCAGTGCGAGATGGCGCTGGAGCCGACCCATGGAGCGAGAAAGCTGAGTGCCTGTGCACGGGAGGCTTCCTGGCGGAGTGGGGTGTCTCCGGGCACTTACCAGTGGAGCTAGGCTTGCCGACCCACAGAGTGAGAGAGCTGAGTGTCTGTGTGCACGAGGCTTTGTGGCGGAGTGGGGTGCCTCCGAGCACTTATACCGGTGGAGCTACTGAGCTTTGGAACACTTGCCCCAGCAGGGCAGATGGGGGCATGAGGCCCGAGGGCCGAGAGGCCATAGGAAGCAGAAGCTGTAGAGACAAGGGACACAAGAAGCCAAGCTGCTTCAGTCTCAAAAGGTATGGCCATGACCTCAGGGGTTTCAAAGGGTGGAGCCATGGCCTCTGGTGCTTCTAAGGGTGGAGCTGTCACTCCAATGGACTAGGAGAATGGTGCGCCTAAAGCCAAGGGAGCAGAGCTGCTGTCCCAGTGGGCCTGGAAGGTGGAGCTGAAGCCCAGGGCCGAGGGGCCTCCACTCAAAATCAGGAGACTGTGGCCAATACCTAGAGTCTGGAGGGCAGGGCCATTGTGTAAATTGTCTCAGAGAACAGAGGATTATTTTCAAAGCCTTGAGGGCTAATGTAATGTGTTCTGCTGACTTGCTTGGTGCCTGTTATCACTTCTTCTCCTCTAGTTTCTCCCATTTGTAATGGAAATGTCTAGCTTGTGCCTGTTCTGCCATTGTACCTTTGGAAGCAGAGAACTTGTATTCTAGATTTCACAAATGAAGAGGAATTTTTGGATTTTGGACTTGGAGTTAAGACTTTTGCTATGATATGATGGGGTGAATATGTTTTCCATGTTGCAAGGATGTGATTTTTTGGGGGCCAAAGGGTGGAATGTCATGGTTTGAATTATGTCCCCCAAAACATGTGTGTATCAATTTGGCTAGGTCATGATTCCTGGTACTGTGTGATTTTCCTGTATGTTGTAAACCTGCCTCTATGATGTTAATGAGGGAGGATGGGTGGCAGTTGTGTTAGTAAGGCAGGACCTGATCTACAAGACTGGATTGTGTCCTGAGGCAATCTCTTGAGATATAAAAGACAGAAGTGAGCAGTGAGACAGGGGGACCTCATACCATCAAGAAATCAATACTAGGAGCAGAGCGCGTCCTTTGGACAGGGGTCCCTGCGCCGAGAAGCTCCTAGTCCGGGGGAACACTGATGCAAAGGCTGACAGAGAGAGAAAGCCTTCCCCTGGAGCTGAAACCCTGAGTTTGGACTTTTAGCCTACTTTGACTGTGAGGAAATAAACTTCTCTTTGTTAAAACCATCTACATGTGGTATTTCTGTTATAGCAGCACTAGATAACCAAGACACTTTCCTCTCTGCCAGAGGGGCAAGTGTAGGTAGTTACAGCAGAAAGTGTTTGCAGAAGAGAACCTCGCCTGGGACAGCGCCGCTGGACAAGAGGCTCTCCAGGCTAAGAGTTGGGGTCACTCTGCGAGCACCAGAGAGTGACGGCCCCAGGACTCCCACAGCCTTCTGGAGCCCCCTCCCATGGGGCCCGGGGAGGTGGGGTCCGCCTTGGAGCAAGGCATACCTACTGTTAGTTCTATTTCCTTAAACCTGTCAGCCACCTAGTTAGTTCCCCGCTTCATTACCTCCCCAATCTGCCACCTACAACCAGCCTCCACCCTGTGGCTGGCTGGCAGGAACTTTCTAACACCCAAACTGAACTGGGACACTCCCTGGCTCAAAAATTCCCAAGGGACTCCTCCCTGGCCCCAGGGGAGAGGCCAAATTCCCCCGCTGAACAGTGGGCAGTGGGGCTTCATGCTGCCAGTGTCCCCACTCCAGCAGACCACTGCACCCCACTTCCTGTGCAGGGTGCAGTCAGCCTTACTGCAGTCCTCTGCTCCCTGACCACGTCATGCATGCCCACAGCCTAGGCCCCAGCTCACACCTGCCTCCCAGTCCTGATTTTCGTGAAAATCAAAGACAGACGCCAAGCCCCAACTCAGACTCCGCATCCCCTCCAGTTATAACAGGAGCGGCCGCTGCTCCTGGGTGATTCCAAGGGTGACCACTGCGCTAAGTGCACTACAGACGGCTTCCGGGTTAGCCCGAGCCCAGAGCTGTGGCTCAACCAGCTGTTACTCACATGGCACAGAAACAGGCAGGGCCAGGTCAAGTGGCTTGCCCAAGGCCACACAGCCAGCAGGACCCAGATTCGGACTTCCCTCGGTCTGTCTCCAAAGCCTGTGCTCTCAGCTCTGACACAGCCCTCTTCACAAGGCGCCTTCCTAATCCCTCCAGAATTCATCCCTTCTGGTGGGCGTGGTGAGGGCATCAGTTGCAGCTGTGGGCCTGCTACCTTCTCCCACACATCTCTGCTCCAAGGAGGGGCAGGGCATGCCCTCTCATCTTTAGTACTGTCTCCTGTCCTTGCACACGTAGTTGGTGTCCAACAAACACCTCCTAGGATGAGGTGGATTTCCTTTCCAGAGCAAAAACATTACCCGGGGTAGACTGGGGTACAAGTGGCCCCAGAGGGGGCAGCCCTGTAGATTCTCCTCATCTGGGGTTCTGGGTGGACCCAGGAAAGGCATGCAAAGGGAGGGGATGCTGACAGCGCTGCTGGCTACCTCAAACCAAAGGAAGACAGGGTGATGGGCTACTGACAAAGCTTGCCCGCTTGGGGGCACCACACCCCGGAGGCCAGTCCCATGCTCTGCACCAGGACAGGGAGGGCCAGGCACCAAGACAGAAAGGCCTTGAGACCCCCTTTGAGGACAGCCAGGTGCAGCTCTTACCCAGGGCATGCTCCTGAGAGAGAGAACCAAGGACTCCCAGCTCTCCTGGGGCCAGAGACCTCAGCTGTCAGATGCTGCCATATCCAGGGCTCTCCGGGGCCACTGCAAGGTGGTCTAGTTTTTAGTTGCTTAAACGTAAGCAAAGGATGGTGTTTCTGGTCGTGGGCATAAAAGTCAAGGTGAGAGGTTAGGAGCTGGGGACCCCAAGTTGGAAGACCTGCTGAAGGCTGGCTCTGCCACTTACAGACCATGTGACTGTGGTGCGGCTGCTAACCTGTCAGAGCCTCCACCTCTCAGATGTACAACAGGAGGGTCGCTGTGCCCACCTTTATGAGCACTGCGAGCAAGAAGGCTGGCCCTATTCCAGGCACACAGCCCGTACCCAATAAATGCAGTTCTCTCTCCCACAACGGCCCCTTTTAGACAGGCCGCCTTGACCCTGTGCACCCCACTCTGCCCACTGGTCCCACCATTGCACAAAACGACCCCCGGGCCAAGTCACCACCCAGGCCAGAGTTCAAGGCAGCGCCTGGAGGCCACCATCAGAGTCTGCATGGCAGGACTGGGGAAGGTGGGGGGCTGCCTCTCCTGCCCCAAAGATGAATCCTCATGCAGCCCCAGGGCCCAGGCAAAGAACTTCTCCTTAAAATTAAACAAAAGGTTCTCAGCAGGGAAAGCTTGGTACAGGCCAGGAGAACTAGGAGGTCACTATTGATATGAATCTTTCCAGAAAGCCCTGTTCACATAAACAAACACCTTGGAAAAGCAGTATCACCTTCTCTCAAGCCACCCTGCCCCTGGAGGTCGGGAGGATGAGTGCTCAGGGACAAAAGCCTGCAGCTGGCAGGAGAAGCCACAAAGATGAAGGCTCCCACCGAGAACACAGCGTACCCCGAGAGGCTCAGCTGCCACATGACATATCTCTGTGTGTTTGATTAAAGGCCCTTTAAATTCCTTGTTTGTCTCCTTCGCCAGGTTACATAACTCCCCTTGCTTGCTGCTGAGCTGTTCTATTCCACATGCACCCAGTCCTCTAAGCATTGTGTGATTGGGACACTTCATCACCACCATGCCACCCGTGGGCTCAACATGATGGAACAAAACCCTCCTCAAGTGGCCAGAGCCACTCATCCAAAGAGTACATTGAGGTCTTTCTTTCCTGGTCACAGAGGCAAAAACAAAGGACCTCCCAGAAAGTTCTCCCCCATGGAATTCAACTACTCCCTGCCCTAAAGTATTTAAAAGGATTGGACCCCCAGGCCACGGCCACCTTGTGATCAGTTAGGGAGGGGGGCTGCTTGGCTGTGGACAGATGCTGAGGCCACACCTGTCTCTCCCTACCTTTCATGTAGGCCTCAATCTTCCGGATGAGCTCGTAGGACTTGGAGCGGTCAAGCAGGGTCCTGATCGCAGGAAGGGGATCCAGGACGATAGTCTCGGGGTGGGCATCGATGTATTCCTGAAACAAAAGCAATGCCTGCTGGTTAGAGAGCGGAGGCTGGTGCTGGAACGCGGAAGGTGAGCAGGGTTTTATCCCTCTTGCTGAGGGTGTCTGGAGGGCTGCCCCTGCTGCTCCCTCCTCATCAGCCCCAATTTCTCTTTGGGGCATCATGTAGTCTGGAAAGCTGCCACCATCCGCTCAAGCCTGCTGGGGAGCACATGACTTTGGACAGGCCAATCAGAGCATGCTATACCCTGGGTCAGGACTGGTCATGTGACCCCAGTTGGTCCAATCAGAGTAAGGCTCACAGCTCTCGCAGGGAATGCTGGAATGAAAGCACTCTTCCTCACTTGAGGAAAAAGAGGAAGCCTGGAGACCAGGCACTGGTCATTGTGTGATCTTATGGAGAAGACCCGACTGAGCCAAAACTCAGATATGCAGCTCAAACTGAGACAACAGAGCTGAGAAAAGGAGAAAAACCAGGCTTTCGTCATATTATTTGAGTCTTGGATAAAGCCACACCTGAAACCGGATGTATCCCACCTGCTGGTTACACTCGACTGATAGTGGCTGCCCAGACCCCTGCACTGGTAAGGATTCTGAGGCCAGTGAAATGAGTCATTAGAATCTCTACGGAAAGGTGCGGGCATGATAAACATGCCACATGTGTGCCACTTGTCCACTTCAACTGGACAAGTGCTTACTCACTACCTCCTGACTTCATGGTAGGCACTATGAAAATACAAGAAGAATGGGGACAAAACTAGACTTTGCTGAATTTACAGTCTTCTCGGGCAAACAGCACCAACACAAGCAGGGAAAAAAGAGTCTATGACTATTATCAACAACAGAATTCAACAACCAAAAAAAACGGCCAAGTATTTCTAGGAAAAGAACATGGGCGGAGAGATAGAATGTCCCTGGGACCCTGGTCCTGCCACCCATCACCTCTGTGACCAGAGGAGCTCCGACCCCCCTCAATAGGGCAGACCCAGGAAATGAGACCATCCCTCTGGCTCTAAAACGCTACAATTCTAAGGACAAAAACGCAGAGAGCTGAGTAAAGAGAAAGGGTCTCAGGGAGAAGGCTGGACTTGGCCAGTCAGTGGCTTCATTCATCCATTGCCACAACCTCCCTGCCCACCACCCCATCCCTGCCCAGTCCAAGAGACCAGTCTGTGACGATAGCACAGGCCAGGCAAAAAAACCCCAACCATGATGCTTCTTTTCTAGGAAACCCTATCAGCAAAAGGAAAGATCAATTTGGAGTTATTCTTTTTATCAAGTGAACTCATTTTTGTTCCTAGTAATTGTTTTTTTTTAAATTATGGTAAAAATATATATAACAAAATATTTGCCATTCAATCTTTTTACACGTACAATTCCTTTTCAAGAGCGCTCAATACAAAAGCCAGAGGTTCATACTCGCTTCTCATCTGAAATTCTGAAATCTACCAACCTCTAACCTGTCTGTGTTTCATAGCAGAGCATCCGGCTATGGGGTCATTTATGTCTTTTTCTCTGATTGTTTTAAAAAAAATTCTCCATCCCTAAAGGGTGGCCAGCACCTGCATCTAGGGAAGCCCCACATATCCTTCCTTACTCCCCTGAACTCCTTGGGACCTCCACATCCGCTCTCCTCAGAAATTCCTTTCCTGACACAGCATCCTGCAGACCCCAAGGCTACACAGAAGCCGCCTGCCCGGATTCTTCCTCCTCCCACCGAGAGACCTGCCTGTCAGCATGTTGTTACAGAATGAGCCAGGCAGCTGAGGTGAGGAGGCCACATGGGCCTCCCACTCAGGGCATGAGGACAACCGAGGTTCCCTGAAGGAAAGTTTACCCAGCCCTGCCTCTGACGGCCGGAGCTTCACCCAAGTGCCTGAGCCCCTACCTCTCGTTTGAGGGCAGGTATCTCTCTTGGAAGGAGGCTTGATAGCACAATGGTTAAGCACTCAGAGGTTGGTGATTTGAACCCATCCAGCGGTTCTGCGGGAGAAAGACCTCGTGATCTGCTTCTGTAAAGATTATAGCCTAGAAAACCCTATGGAGCAGTTCTACTCTGTCAACATGGGGTTGTTATGGGTCGAAATCAAGTTGATGACACCTAACAACAACATCCCTCCCTGCACCATTCCTTTACCAGAGCTCGCTCTTTTGAACAAGATCCATGCTTCCTCAAGAGCATGTCATTCATGAGTCCTTCCCTGTACATATGAAATCATGTTAAAAGGTCATCCGCTCAATAAGCACAACGTGACAAACTTCACATGGCCAATGGCACACCAGGCATCATGTGAGGTGAAGGGGACTCGGTGAATGAAAGCCTATCACACTTTGATTTCTTGGATCTATAATCCTGGCTGTTGAATTCACAGTCTGGGTTATACCTGAAGGCACTGCAATGTCCTCTCTCCCTTCCCCCAAACACCCCGGGAAGCAGGGGAAAGACTAACGGACCAGGCGTCGAGAAACCCAAGCTCCCCATTATCCCTCCCAGGGCCACCTTGGGCAAGCCACCTGGCTTCTCTGGGTCGGTGTCCTCATCTGTGACACGAGGAGGGGCTACCGCAGACAACTTTAAGATCCTTTAAGAACTGCTCTCCAGTTCTGAGAGTCTGAATTGAACTGAGAAAATGAAGGACCAGCCTATGGGGGCCGACTTCAAGGCTGCACGGGGGCTGTTCTAGAATGGACAGCCAGCCACTTGTAGAGCACTGCAGGCAATGGGCAGGGACACCCTAGCTCACTGCCTTCCCTTCACAAAGGAAGCAAAATCAGAGACCCTTGCTTCGACGGGCTGGCCCAGTCCCCTAACAACTGAGGTCGCTTCAAACAGGGCCACCCCCAGCTCCTTCCTCGCTCACAGGCCCCCACAGTCTGCATAGCTGCTGAAGAACACAAGGCTGATTCTGGGTCCGCTTTTCTGCATTAGGGCAGTGACCTTTAAAGAGAGAATCCAGAATCATTAAGACATGAATTTAAGCCAAATTCATGAGGAAAAGAAATTAAAGAAACCACAGGGAGAAACATCTGACAAGACAGCCAGCCTCTGACCAGGATGAAAGCCTCGGTATTAACAGAATTATTATTCCTCAACGCAATCTCTTTTGGAATGGGTACAGAGAGGGCAAAGAGTTTTTCCAATCACCCCTTGATCCACAAGTGGATTTTCTTCCAAGCTTTTCAGCTTATCTATTCTGTGGCAGGCCTCATGCATTTTTCACAAGGATCTTAGAATTACCAAACAAATTGCTGGAAGGGTGAGCAATTATCACCACTCAGAGGAAGAAAGACACCAATCGTCTCCATGGCAAATGATAAACATGTGTCCCTCAGGAAGCCTGCAGAGGAACGCCTAGAAAGGGACCCTGCATGAAAGGGGAAGCCTGGATTTAAGCAGGTGGAAAAGAAGGAAAAGTAGAAATCCCTAGCCTTGGGTCAGGAGTGCAAGGAGGAAGTTTGGAGAAGATCTGACTGCTCATTAAAGCACATGCTCCCTCAGGCTTTTTTAGATGCCCCAGGCCCGGGGCATGATTCCAAGAGGGACACCAGGTACTCTGCTGGGCTGGGGAGGGGATCATGACTTCCCCACTGGGAATACGAGCCAAAACAAGAAGACCAAGATGAACAACAGAGGCACCATTTCCTCTGCAGCTCCATCTATGGACAGGAAATGAGCAGAGAGTGAGCGAGACATAGGGATGCTTTTGTCTAATGGCGACTGCAGTCAAAAGTCCTGAGTTTGAATCCTGACTCTGCTACTTATTTGGTGTCTATGAACAAAAAGCTGGAGTTACCTCCCTGAGATTGTTTTCTCATCTGTAAAATCAGCGTTCTAAATAAAACCTATCTTCGGGAGCTGCTACAAAAATCAAGGAGATCACAGATGTGAAAGGCATTTGTAAATATAAAAATGAAAAGGATTCTTATTATTCTGCTAACACACAGCCTCTTAGGGTCAAGCCTGTCCCAAGGTCTCTGAGCTCATCCTGCCCTGCCTGGTCCAGCAGACCGAGGGTGGTGCCAGCCTGCACCTGGAATGAGGAACCAGGCTGTTCTGGCCTGGACTGGCCCTCTGCTGATGCCTGGATTCATGGCATTATGCCCTAGGCAGCGCTGGCTCCAGGGAGAGGCCCGTGGTGGCCGGTGGGCCCACCTGGTCAGCCTCCTCCTGCAGGGAAGGAGAGGGTATGCACTCACAGTACCGCCCCGACTCTGGAGGGAGGGATGAGGCTCTGTCCCCCACCCCCTAGACACAGCAGGGCCCTCTTTAGAAAGTAGGGACTCATCTTTTACAGAAGTGTACTAAAATTATTCACAGATTACATGTGATGTCTGGGATTTGCTTCAAAATAATCCAGGCCCAGGGCGAGGGGAGAGAAGTGGGTGAGGGATGATGAGACAAGAGTGGCTGTGAGTTGATAACCCGCGATGCTGGGGAACCGGTCCATGAGAGGATGTTACGGCAGTCTCACTTCTCAAGTAGCTGAAAAATTTTCCATAATAAGATACATGGGGAAAGGAGGGAGATTGGTGACCAGTCCTCTCATTATTCCACCCCACACTCCCAGCTGTGCCAGTAAGGGGTTCAAACACCTACTCTCTTCCAGCAAGGAAAAAGAGGCAGCTACCCAGATGGGAAACACAATGAGAGATGAACACGGTAATGATGATACAAATGAAAAATCAAAATAATCACAATCGATAACAATTTTAAAAATTATAAGCCATCAATTACCTGGCTCACGCTTTTCAAGCTCATTTTTCTTTTAATATAAAATCCCATGAGGTACATGGACTCCAGACTTTCTGGAGCCATGGATGCTGAATGAACTTCCAAAACTATTGCCCTGAGATAATCTTTAAACCTTAAATGAAAAATATCCCCTGAAGCCTTCTTAAAACGAAACAATAGTTTAACTGGTAAAGAATGTCTGCCTTGAGCATTGTGCTCTTTTTAGAACTATCTATATGGGATCAAATTGACAAAAGCAACCTGAAAGGTTAAATAGGAA